AGTGGCCCCACCTGTGGCCCTGATTTCAAATGCTGGGAAATAGCAGTCACCACAGCACTGTTTCATGGAGCTCTGGTGGCAAGGGACGTTAAAGGTGTTACATGAGAAATGGGTTCGCAGCTAAAATCATGCTTGGTAAATCCTAGATTAAACAAATTTCGTTGGTTTTCCTCATGCGAATTTTCAGACCTTTTTAAATCCCCAACATTGGGTTGTCATAGGCAGTATTTCTGAAGGTATGTCTCCCTCCTCCTGCCCCCCCTTCCTGAGTATTCAGGGTCACAGGAGCACAGGTTGAATGGGTGCTGGCGGTCTCTAGGCCATGAGCTCTGATTTGCGGTTTTGGGAAAATAACAACTCTAGAGAAAAACATCAACTTTGTAGAATGTTATTATTCTGTTTTTGTCTTAAAAGTGTAAATTTACAAGATATAGGCATAGATGTGAGTATATATGAATGGAAAAGGAAGGATGCATACCAAAATGTTAAGTGTCATCCCCAGTAGGGGGTGTGAATAGGGAAAGATTATAGGTAATTTTCTTTCCTTTTTGTTGGTATCTTCTATAATCTGTACATGTGACTCTGGTCAAAAGGGTTACAATTGTTTGATTATTTTGTTTTTTAAAGGGCCACTGTTCCACGTATTATTTCATTTGCCTCCCAAGTATCAGTGATGGTGGCTCTCACGTTATCCCCACTGTGTGGAGGAGGAAGCTCACACAGCTCAGGAGCTGCCTCAGGTCTCACGGTTTCATCGTTGGGCTGCCTTCTCTGTGCAAGGTAGTGGCAGCATGCGCTGTCCTGGGAAGGGGTTCTGGCCCCTGTCTGCCCGACCCCTCTGGTTCACAGACTGAGGTTGAGACCCGGAGAGGGAAAAGTACCTGAGTGGGACACGTGGTTTTTGAACAAGGGTATGTCCTTGGGCAAGGTCTGGCGATCAGAAGGCAGGACAAGGACCTGGCCTCCTCTTTATCTGTTGTACTAGACCTTTAAAAGGGCAAGGGGAAAAATGTTGTGATGTACAATGGTGAATGCAGTCTCATTTTGTCTTTAAAAAGGTCACTTTGATGTATGATCTGTGTCGCCAAAATCACATTGCTTAGATTTCATTTCTCTTTGCTTTGCAAAGTGCATGTTTTCTGTATTTTTTCTAAACTGATTTTTTCCTTTTCTTCATTTATTTTTTTATTTTTTGAAGCTTAGGCATATATCTGTTCATTTACAGCTAGTTATGTGGGGTTTTACTTGGGTGGCTGAGTAGTGATCCTGTGTATACCCCCAGAGCCTGGTACTTAGTCATGCAAAGAGCAGTGACTGGACTGTGGAGGTGGGTGGAGGGAAAGCCTGGGTCTAGCTCCGAAAAGAAGCCTGAGCGTGGAGGGCACGGTGAGGGGCCGAGTTGCAGGACACGGAATCAGGGTGTGGCCCTACCTTGCACACTGCGGTTCAGAGGGGACTGGGGTTCCACTCAGTTGAGGCCCCAGCCCTCGGGACACATACAGCAGCGCTGCCAGCCATGAGGCCAGGGTCAGGGCGTCCTGTTTCAGAAGGAGTTGGACTTCAGAGTTTGATGGATCTGGGTTTGAATCCTAAGACTGACTAGCTGTGGAATTTGAGTATAATCTCGCTGTGCCTCAGATTCATCTTCTGAAAGCTGGGGGTGACGTGGGAAAGCAGTCCCACTTTATAGAGTTGTTGTGAGGACTAAGTGAGGGAATACATGCATTCATGGAAGAGAACCTGGCACATCTTAAGCACTGAGTAAGTGTCAGCTATTATTATTATTAACAATACAATATAATGTTCCTAGAAGAGAGCTCGGCCAGTGGCATATCTTGGGATGTGTTTGACCCCCAGACAAGGTGTGACTTGGTTGCCAGTTCGTTGCCAGTAGGCTGGCTGGGTGTAACTGACTGCTTCTTAATGGGGCTCCCTCCTGGGAAGCTGCCTCATCGCATGGTGATGGGGACGCCTGAGCTGTTACATTACTTAACCAAACCGAAGGGCTTCCTCAGTGGGCAGTTTCCAGAGACTTTTGTGAGCTTTTCATTCAGCTCTGTGTTTTCTGTTAGAAATGAAACAGTAACCACAGTAGGTAACCTGGAGTGTGCAGTCCAGCCTTAGCCCCAGACAGCCTGCGTTTTTCAAGAGACTAAATGCTTTTTTTTAGATGTTTATTTAAAAAAAAAATTCAGCAGAGCATTAAAGGGATTTCTTACAGAAAGGAGAAGGGCCTTACTTTTTACTCTGTGGCTCGCTCCAGGTGGTTACTACCCTAGACTTAACTGTGAACATTGACTCTGACCAAATAATTCTTTGGTCAGAGTTCATAATCTGGGCACTGATACCCTTCTCTTAGGAACCCTGTTTCTCTGGTCTTTCTATTTGGATGCTGTCGTCTGGATTTTCGGCTTGTTTCCTCCACCTCTGTCAAAGGTGGAGAAGTAAATGTGTGGCAAGCAGTCTCAGCACAGGGAAAGACTGCGGGCCGTCCTGTGTTCCCCGCTGGTGGGCTTGTGAACACCGTCAGCCGTGGTCTGCAGGAGGCCCACAGCGCCTCCAGTCTTTCTGCTGTCCCTGCGCCTGTCTCTGGGTTTCAGTTCCTGTTCACAGTTAATGGCTTGTGTTTGATTTAACGTACTATGTCCCTGAGTTTTTATTCAGTTTGACCTCGGTTCTTGTTTAGATTACTACAGTACACTAGAAAAAAAGTTTTGGGTTTGAAGCCAGAGAGAGAAGGGAAATCGCATTTCTTAAGTGCTTACCCTTCATTATTTAATTCATCTTCCTTAAGCTCCTACTATGAGCCAGGTGTTGTGAAAGGCACTTGAGGGCAGTGGTTCAAGGACATGGGTGCTGGACCCAGGCTGTCTGGGCTGGAGTCCCAGCCCCACAGCTTCAGTGGAACCCAGCAGTAAGTGGGGCCTTAACCACTTTTTATTTACCTTCTCTTCTGCTTGTTAGAGTGCTAATAGTGTCCACCTGGCAGGGTTGTTTGGCAAATGAAATGAATTAATAATGTAGAGTGAGGTGATGATGATGATGATGATGATGGGGACGGGTTGGGATCAGGACAGAACCACTTCATTGCTCTTACACTGCTCACGGTCCTGCAAGTGTGTGTGTGTGTGTGTAAGGCTGAGGCCTGACGTTGGCGTGGGAGGCAGGTACACCTGATGGAGTACAGTAAAGCCTGTGGGTATTACTACAGGAGAGGGCCAGGTGTGGTGCGAGCTCGCAGCGGGGTGCCCAGCCTCCCTCTCAGGGCAGAGAAGCACAGCAGGGAGAGTGATGTCCTGTGTCGTGTGCAGAAGGAGCAGTGTATGTGAGGGTCTGGAGAGGAAATCTCGTGGTGTTTAAGGAACTGAAGAAATCTGGTGAGCCTAGAGCACGGGGTGTGAGGACAGTGGGGAGAGACGGCGTTGGCAGTAACGAAGGAGAGGCCAGGCTGTGGGCGATGTGTCATGTTGAGGATTTGGGGTGACTGAAATACTGTTTAGGCAGATACTGTTCTTGGGGGTTTTCATTCGTGACTTCAAGCATCACAACTCTGTGATCTAGCTGTTATTAGCCCATGTGGTTGATGGCGAAGTTAAGACTAAAAAATGTCCACTTGCCCAAAGGCACAGACTTAGAGGGCCACACAGTCAAGAGCTAAACCCAGGCTTCTCAGGCTCCAAAGCTACAATTCTGTCAATGACACCGCACCCTTCTGAACTTGAGGCCTGGCTGTTGGCTTTCAGACTTCAGGCTCCTCTCTTAATTTCTTTTCTTTTCAGTAGACTCACTTGTAAAATAGATAATATAAATACCAGCCTCACAGACTTGTGAAAATAAACAGAAGCACATGTAAAGTGCCAAGGACTGCACACTGCCTGACGTGTAGCGAGTGCAATGACTTCCTACAGGCCCAGGCTGCTGACAGAGGAACATTTTCCCCTCCCGGTCCCACGTCTGGGATGGATCCCCGAGAGCGGCCAGCTGCACCCGGCCTGTTGTCGGCCATCTTCCCAAGGACTTGTTGAAGCCCCTGTAGAAATCACCTTTGCACACAGGGCATCTGCAGGTCTCAGTACCTCTGCCCTTCCACTGGCCAGTGGGAGTGACCCGAGGCTACTCTAGCTCTCCCAAGTGTCCCCCTCATGGGCTTGCTGTCATCCCTTTTCTCTTTCTCTAGAGTCCACTGGGCTTGTTCTGGCTACACCTTATGAAATGAGGGCTGTGCAGATTTGAATTGAACTTGACTTTGTTGTCGTTGTTTAACTTTTCTCATGTTGCTCTCAAGGACAGATACTGTCTCATCTCTATATTTCCTATGGTGATTGGCACAGTACTGTCATAGGTACTCAGTAGATTACAGTTGTTTTCACCAGGATAGGGCTTGATGGATACCGAAGCTCTTTTGTATAGTTTTTTTTTTTTTTAATCTTCACAACAGTCCTCTGAAGTAGATAGAGTGTATAGTATTCTTTTTTTACCACAACTGGAGAAACTAGGGCCTACACCTAAGCAATATGACCACTGGTTAGTTCTTTAATTCTAGAGTATTCATTTACTAGGTGTAACTCTGTCTTATGGGATAGGAAAATAGAGCTGAAAGATGTAATCCCTTCCCTCAAGGATGGGATAGACATTTAAACAAATAACTGTATGCAGCAAGTGGAGTTTTAGGACAGAGAAATGATGAAAGTGTTTAATTTTAATTGGGGAAGATCAGTGAGAAATTGAGAGAGAGAGAGAGATGGTTGCATGGGGCCTTCAAGAACTCAGCTCTTGGTGCAGAAAGAGTGGGAGGGCAGCATCCCAGACAGGAAATATCAGGCACCAAAGCCCGTAGGAGTGGGGACAGGTGTTCTGGGCGGCCCTGCAGCAGGAGGTGGCCGGCAGTGGGTGGTGGCAGAAGATAAAGATGGCGGTAACTCCCACTGGCAAGACCCGGAGGCCCCACAACTTAAGAGAAACCAAAAGGTTCCTTCCTGGTTTGTCCCCTTTCATTTCAGTCCCCAGCCCTTCCTCCCAGAGGCATACACAGCCTGTACATGAACCGCCTTGAAGCTGTGCATGGACTCCCCTTTGCCCTGCTTCCTTGCACCCCCAGCTTGTCTGCACATGGATTTGTCATCTCCTTTCCATGTGAAAACACATCTTACCACATGAGCGACCTGCGACCTGACTACTTGGAAGAATAAAGGTTACCAGGTAAAAGGTTACCACACGTTTGCTTTCCATCGTGTGAGGTGACTGGGGAGGAATAAAGTCCATCTGTGACCAAACACGTGTGTTCCTCCCTCGCCGGCAGAGTCACCAGAGGGAAGCATTAAATTGCTCTTCAAATGAGTCAGGCCTATTGTTCCCGAGGAGACGGGGCCGGCGCAGCTTGAGCTCTGCAGGCAAGTCTGACCAGGCCCCATCTCACTCTCGCTGTGTCTGTTTGCCTTGCAGCTGTGTAAATGAGTATGGAAGATTATGATTTCCTGTTTAAAATTGTTTTAATTGGCAACGCTGGTGTGGGGAAGACGTGCCTAGTTCGACGGTTCACTCAGGTAAGAGGACTCAGAAGTCCAGGACTGGCTTTCTCACTCTGGCCTGCAGGGTTCGGAGAAGCGCATAGGAGGAGTGGCTGGCCCGGCGCCAGCCTCTGGGCTGCCAGTCACGAACGCACCCTTTGAAGGGGCACCAGCTGGGAAGCGTAGACTGGAGCTCTTTAAACCCCTGGCAGGAGCGAGGCTGCGTGGGTCCCCACCACACCCCCGTGCCTCTTGTTGCGTCCTTCACTGACAAGGGGCAAGTTGTTTTGCTTCCAGGGTGCAATACTAAAAATAGATTATTTAATTAATAAATAGGTTATTAGTTAATCATAATCCAGAAGTGGAAACAAATGAATCTGGACATCAAATTAAACCTAAATATTAATTTAAAAATGTAAATATAAACTAAACCAGTGAACTCCCTGCCTGCACCCTCGCCAGTCCTCCCAGAGAACTGAGTGAATCATGTTGGGTCGGCACCAAGTATGCTGGTTTTTCTAGACGTATTAAATAGGAATGAAATGAGAACAGTGAGAGACTATTTGAACCAAGTCAAATGTTCTCTCTCTGGGTTAAGCCCTTATCCTGTGATCTGGTACAAGTTTCCTGTGGGGCTGCCCTTTTCAAGAATTACTGCCAGAGATTATATACTTGTTTTTTTTTTTTTTTTTACAGAAATGGTGGGAAATCATTCTGGGGTTGACCTTCTTTTGTACTTTTCTGGAAAAGATATGAATGGCATCCTTTCTGGTGTTGTGCAAGTATCTTGCAATTCCATGAAGTGCTAGTTGGGAAAGTTGGAACTAGCTCTTCTGTCTGAAGCACAGGGCAACCTGGTGCCCTGGACAGGACATTGGCTTGGGAGTCAGGACACAGGACCCAGTCCCAGCTCCGGCCCCGGCTCCTCCATGAGCTGGGTGGGCCGCCCACCCTTGCTAGGCCTCCCTGATGCTCGTGGGGTGGTCTCCAAGGCACCAATAGCAGCAGCGATAACAGTCTGGGGTCTGGGGAAGACTGGAGAGGCAGGTTGGATAAGACAAGCAGCTTTAGGGCTGAGAGTCAGTCAGTCACCTTTGGAAAAGCCCGGGTTTTCCCCACGATCATGAGCACAGTAGGACTCGTGCTTTTGCTGAGTCTTAGCCTGGTGGAGTCAAAGGTAATAAGCTGACCCATCTGGGGTCAGTCAAAGCCCCCACGGTGGTATACTGGGCACCCCGACTGGTTTTACTTCCACCTAACGTCGGCAGCCTCTTCTGCTTTCGGCAGGAGAACAAGACAGCAGAGATGCAGAGGGGTCTTCAGTCCCCTTTCCAAAAATTCCTTTGACTTTGTCTTACTACTGAAAGATCCCTTGGAGGTTATTCAGCCCACTCCTCTCATTTTATGGATGAAAAACTCAGGGGGGGTGAGATAACTCCTTAGTACCTCATGTCATGTTAGGCTGCATTAGAAACCAGGTCTCCTGGTTCTCAGCCTGATCATTTTTCTCTTCTGCATGTTCTAACCTCTGAAACCATAGGAATCTTGCATTTCTTTTTAAAAGCATAAACCTTGTCATTAGAGGTAAAAATGCATTCATCTTCAAATACTAATTTTTATCAATACACACTCTACCCTTTACTTTTCATTTCTGTCTACTTTTTACCACTCCTAGTCTCTCAACTCCTCCCGCCAAGTTCATATTTCATAGGAAAGATAGTTTGTTTTTGTTATTTAGTAGACAGTTAAAATGAATTGGATTCAGCTGTTTTTGAGGCATAGGCGTAGGGGAACAAAATGACGGAAAAGACACTGGGAAGGACTTTTGGCATTTGTTAGGCTGCAAAACAGCTGGAGCTGTCAGCTTGAAGCTTGGCAGCCTTGTGTTTGAGCCAAACCAAAATAGAAGAAAATTGATTCAATATTTGTAAGTGGAGTTATGAATGTTTATGTTGACATCTTTTGCAGACATGCAATGGAACATTTTCTGCTGGTTTGAAGCTCAGTCTTTTAAGTTTAAACATTCATTAAGAATGCTTTTGTTAAGGAATGGACTTAATTAAAGATGGCCCAATCTTAGCTGCCAGAGCCAATGAAGTCCATTTTACTTTAATTTCTGGAAATCCTGGAATGTAAGTGAAGAGGGAAGAGAAACTAGGTGAAATGTGCTTCCTTGATCAAATTGCTTTCTACCTCCACCTCCCTCCCTAAGCTTACGAGAAATATTATGTAACATTATACATGTGATTTTGATGAAGTCTTTTTGTATAGCTTCCAGTTTGGGGTAAAACTTTTAAAAAATTTGTAAATGTTTTTATTATTTAATGCTGTGACAGTTCATACTTTTTTCTCTTTCCCCATCTCCACCCAGCCAGTTCCCACACTGCTGTCCGCGTCTGTGGGTCATGCATGAATGTTCTTTGGTTAATCCCTTCACCATCTTTCATCCCGTTCTCCTTACCCCCTCCTTTCCGGAAGCTGTCAGTCTGTTTTATGTGTCTAAGCTTCTATTACTATTTTGTTTATTAGTTTATTGTATGTTAGATTCCACATATAAATGAGATCATGTGATAGTTTTCTTTCATTGAATGACTTAATCTATTTAGCATAATTTTCTCCAGGTCCATCCATGTTGTTGCAAAATGTAAGAGTTTCTTTTTTACTGCTGCATAGTATTTCATTGTGTAAATGTATCAGAGCTTAAAAGTTTGGCAAAGTCAACTATCAGTAGATGAGTGAGGTAAAACTTTTTTTTTGTTTTGACATACTTATATCAGCCTCAAACTTGTTGAGTTTAAGGCCCGGAGAGGGGAACTGGTTTGCCTGACTTCACACAGAGATCCTGAGGCTAATACCTGCTGGTTTAGTGCTATTCCTACTGGGCTTTCTCCCTGAATGACTTTGTTTCCTTCGCTAATCTCCCCAGTATCATTGTTCCTGATTTCATGGAATTACATCACCTCAGGGTGCAGGGAAATCCAAAAGCTTCATTGCCTCCTTCATTTTCCTCATACTGACTGCTCGTTTGCTCATGCTGGTTGTCCTCCCCCGTGGCTGTTCATGCCCTAGTTTTCCTCCTCCTCCTCCTTGATCTTACCTCTTTTAGAGAGCCTGCCCGTTTTGCCCTTACCCCAGCAGTCCTGATCTCATCCCTCCTGGCTTCTCAATCTTATACTCGTATCTGATGTTTCTGTTTCATTTTTTGAAATTGGGTCCGCCCGCCCTTTCCAAGTTTCTGCCCTCACTCTCTGTCTTCTTCTTCCTTATTTGTCCCCCTTTCCCTTTCTTTTTCTTTCAGAATTTCTCCTTTTTTCTTCCTTTCCCCTTCCCTCAAAACATATATACATACATGCAAAGTTAAATTAAGACGGGGCTCTAAGGACACAAACCAGAGTGCTTTTCTCTACTAGTTAACCCAGCCAAAGGAAGGGACTGGGAATGGGTGGTGATGGGGAATGTCATGTAATTGAAAGATTTGCTTAATTGTTATTTTTAATTTCTCCTTTAGGGTCTTTTCCCCCCAGGTCAAGGAGCCACAATTGGAGTTGATTTTATGATTAAGACAGTGGAGATTAATGGTGAAAAAGTAAAGGTAAGATGCTAAGTTTTCAATATGGCTTTTGTTGTGCTGCGTGAGAGGAAGTAGTGTTTCCATAACATTGATCATATCTCTTAATTGATAACCACATCGGAAGTAATATACTCAGCTGTGGCACTTATTTCCAAACATTCCCTTTATGGGGGCAGGAGGGGGTTGTGGATGATGTGTTTACAGATGGGAAGACGGAGAAAGAAGGGCTGAGGCAAGTTTGTCCTGTCTCCTGTGATGTCAGAGGCGATATAAAAACAAGCAAGGAATTTCTTGTTGGAATCTCCTGAGCTGGGCCAGGAAGTGGTGCTACTGCCTCTGAACAGCAGCCCCGAGAAAGCAGCAGTGGGTTCCTATGTTGGTTGTGGGCTACTCAGTCAGATGGGTCTTTCGCTGTCTCCCATCATACCCCTAGTCCTAGCAAGGGGGAAATACTACAGGAGGATTCCATGATTTCTTCTTTCTGCTTGGTGGCCTCTGGATAATTTGGCATCTGTAAGAACTATGCAGTCCGGAAGGCAGTAGTGCTTATCGAGTACCCGCTATGTGTCCGTCCCTCTGCCAGGTGCTTTGGCCTGAGTTGCCAGGTAGATAGTAAATTATCTTCATTCTATGTGTTTCAGAGAGGTTGAGTGACTGATCTGTGGCTTCACAGTTAGGAAAGGAGGTAGACAGAATCTGAACCAGTTTGGTGGGCTAGTGCACCCCACTGTCTTCCTGGGGTCTCCCCTGCCATGAAAGAAGCGGGGCATGAAGGCACAATAAGCTCGTCACCTTGGAGCAAGGAAAGAAAGATGATGGATGGGTGAAATGAGACTAAATCACACACAAGGAGGGTGAAGAGACCTGCCCCTTAGAATTGGTGAAATCCCACTCTTAGATCTTCTGGACCTCAGGCCAATGGAAAGTGGCCACCACCCTGGTGTCTGCTGCACGCTGGTGCCAGCGTCCTGGCTAGCTCCCAGCATAAGCATCCCAAGTTGGAGCCCATGGCATTTACATCCTTCTCCTACATGCACCTGTGTTCCGGTCTTCACACACTTCGGGAAGGGCAGAGAAGTTCCCAGGTGCTCCTGTAGCATTTCACAGACACACAGAAGCGTTTTGGACCAGATTCCTGAGTGGGGACACAAACACTCCAGGGGCTCGTCCAGCTGTGACTCCAGAGTGGCTCCCTGCTGTACACATTACGCCAAACACAATAGTGATGGAGAGCTGGGGGCTCCGGAAAACAAAAACAGGGCACGAGATCCACATAGATGCCAACTGGAAGGCTCAAAGAAATACTGCATTGGTGTGCGGAGAAGGCACTAGGGTGTGGGGGTTGGAGGGGGACAGGCGTGGGCACTTGTGGCTTGCCATCATTCCAGGAGAGTGGAGGTGGTCACGTGTCAAGGAGCTGAGTAGAGACGACTACTGTTTCAGGTGTTTTACTTCCAAGTGTCTGGGTTTCCCCTTTATGTACATGTATCTGTGCAAGTTAATTCCTCTCACCGAGGTGTCACTGCCTGCCGTGTGCCAGGCCCTGGGAGTGAGCAGGGCTGAGTAAGAAAGGGTCCATGCTGTTAAAGCGCAGGCTTACTTTTCTGAATCCCCAGGTTTAGTTACTAGATTTATTCCTCTTCCTGCAAACCATGACCTCATTTTTAAGTGCTCAGCAGAAATCCATCTTTTTCTAACATCTGACTCCGTCATGAGACCACAGGCTGCCCAAGAGCAAGGTTGTGTCTCACTCATCTTTGTGTTCACAGCGCGGTTCCTGTCACCGTCTCCTGTTCAGGCCTCTGGACCTTCATCCATAAAAAGTGAGGGTTGGCTAATCTCCTGGATGAAGTCCTAACCCATTTGCCTGTGATCCTCTCTAGCCATATATGTAGAATCAAGGTACAAAGTGGCCCTTTTCCACCACATTAATCCAAGGGCCTCATTAAAACTGGACACATGAGGCACACCTTCTTCAATCTTTCAGTAGAAGAGGCAGAGATGCGCAGGCTTTGCTAAGGAAACACTTGCTGTGTTATTGTTGCCCTTGTTCCTGAACATTTACTGGCACCTCTTTCTGATGATTAAGTGTCTGTTTTGCTAGCAGTTTGCAGGTTTGTTCCGAGCCCCATACAGACCATAGAATAGAGACCACCTGCCAGGTGCATGGCAGGCAGGACCAGAACCCAGGTCCCTCCTGGCTTCTTATCCGAGCCCCTCCCCAACAAGCCTCAGTTATTTCTAAGAGGGCTCCCAGGATTGAGGACAGGGAATCAAAATTAGAAAGATTCTTATAGCTATTAAGGCTTATTGCTAAACAGTAAAGGTAAAGCTGAGGAAGAGGCCCTTTTCTTAACGTGCTATGCTGGAGTAGAAAATATAATTAAAACGTACATAGAATTTTCTTCTTTCCATTGATATTTTAAGTCTATCATAAATAAATGAGTAATAAGTAAAATTGTAAGCTGGTCTAAAACCTTTAAACTTGAGTGACGTGTGCACTGGCCTACAGTGCCCGCGGCATTATGGATGGGAAATCAAGACTAATTCACATGGGCTACGAAGTCCTGTGGAGGAAGAGGGACGGCATGGCTACTCCCTCAAGGGGGGAGCGCCCCGACCCTTGCCTAGACAGGCTTTTATCATTTTTTTTTTTGCGCAGGAGCTCAGGTACAACTTATTAATCATTGTCAGGCAGTAAACAGTAGATAGCATACAAAGAACTATTAGGGCTTCTTCTAAGTCAGGGTCTATCAGCTAAAAGGCTACAAAACTTTGGGAAAACAAACTTATTTTCTGCCAGGGCCTTTATCATTTAACTAAGGGCATTGTTAGCAAAGCAGGCTTCACAGGATTTTACACATCCTTTCTCAGGCCTCATCACCCGGGGAGCCTGCCATTCCCAGCACAGGGCTGCACCACCCTGTCATTGTTTTAGGCTTAAGTCAGGCAGAAGAGGCAGATAGCCAAGGAATTCTCAGAGACTTCTCGAGGACTCCGGGGAGTCAGGCTTCATCAAAGCCTGGGGGCAAGGGTCCATCATTCTCTTTCTTCATAGCCCCCCAAGTCCTTCCCTGGGGCCTCCACGTGATCATACCTGTCTTAGGTAAATCCTCCCTTGAGGAATCTTACTTGTCATTGGCTAACTGATCATGCACTGGAGGCCAGTTATGGAAAAAGGAGCAGAAGCAGCGCTCCTGCCAGGGAGATAAGCTTTGTCTCCTTAGTGGCTTAAGGTGCAAAGGTCGCTCACTCAGCCTTAGCCATGGAGGGGGGGTTACAGCTCCTGAAACTAGGTATGGCGGTTCCCAACACTTGAGGTGTTTCACTATAGCAATAAAAGGTTTTTTGGATTTCTCTCTAATCAGGTATATTTTGTACAGATAGGAAAATGCGAACATGTATTTGCTCATTTGACCATCTGTCCATCCATTTACTCCTCCATCCTGTTACGGTAGATGTTTTGTTCCAAGCCTGTGTCAGATAAAACACCTTTACTCCCTAGTAACTCACTACCATCTGTCTCACACATTTTATCTGTGAGAACTTCTTCAGGACCCCACTGATCATTATGCAGAACTAATCCCTCCTCTGTGATTCCACAGCCTTTGTTACTCAGTTGGCCCTTATTCAAACGGGTCCACCGTGCACCATGGACCTTGTTAGGAAGGCAGGGGAGTACAAAGTTAAGAAACAGTCCTCGCCCTTAAAGAGCTCAGTCTAGCAAGGAGGTGCTCCAGTGAACCAATGATTGCAATAGGTTATCATGACCATGAGACAGCAGAGGTGTGAGGACTGGTGGGAAGAGAGAGAGGAGATGAGCAGTGTAGCCCCATGCTGGGGGTGGCAGTAGCCAGAAAGCCATGGCTGTGGTAATGAGGACAGAACTGACTGGCAGGAGACTGACATTGGGAGACGTTTTCTCCTGCTGGTGCCTCGTAAAAGGGCATCTCATTTTATATTATGGTTAGTTAATATAGTGTCTATCCTCCCTGTAGACTGAACTCTTTGAGGTCATGGATTGTGTTGTACATCCCTGTGCTTAGTACAGTGCTCTGCATCGATTAATGAGCTATAAATGCTGAAAAGGAGCAAACGAATCGCAGAGAAAGGGGAGGCTGAGCTGAGTGATGAAGGCAGTGGAATATGGATATATATCCTTGAGACTCGACGATAAGGCTGGACGCGGGTAGCCTCCTATGAGAAAGCATCTTGGCAGGGCAATACAGTCACCTTTTAAAGAAAGTATTTCAATGGCTTTAATTCTCAAACCTGTTTTCAAGATGTGCCCGTTTTCTGTGCCCAGAAAACATACTGATTTCTAATGATTGACAGTATTAAATCCCATCACAAGTGCTTTTAGAGGCTCAGTGTGGCATTAAAACAATAGTCTGTTTAAAAAACAACAACAGTCTGTTGGGCTAAGGTCCTGGCAGAGGGGAACCATACCCCTACATTGGGGGCAGAGCAGAGAAGTAACTTTTGTCTGGGCACCTGCGTGGTCGCCTGCAGCATCCACAGACTCTCCCAGGCGCAGTTGAAGAGCACCTGCAACTCCAAACTGAAGGAGAGTGTTCGTGCTGTTCATTGGTGGCAGGGACAACCTAACCCGCCACTCATCAGTTTCCTCGGCTAAACTGGTGTGAGCAGAGGGTGACTCCAGCTGACTCATGCTGTCTGGATGCCGATGCCCATTTAAATCAGCCTGAAATGAGTGCCTATGAGGACTAGCAAATGAGAAGGCCTGGGGTCTGGGTCCCAGCTTTGTGAGGAACCACTGGGTGGTGGGGTTTCCTGCTAACGAGAGGCAGGCCTAAACTTGCCTAACCTACTGGATTGCTGTAGGGGTTAGTCGGATTGTCAGTAATACCTGGACAGCCTACTATGTGCCAGGCACCCTATTTGGTGCAGGGGAAACTATGAGTAAAATGGACCCTGACTTTCCCTTCGTGAAGCTTTCAGTTGAGTGAGGGAGACGGTCATTAAATAGATGATTACAACTAAATAAATGACTCAGATGTGTCAGGTGCTGTGAGGGAGAATTACAGGGTGGGCTGCAGGAGAGGATATGGGGGGTGGGGGGGGACCGGCCCAATCTGAGGGGGCCGTCTCCGAGGAAACGATGTTCTGCTGAAGGGGGTGAATGCATTTTGTGATGTGTGAAATTTGTGCAGTTAGAAGCGAAGATTATTATTGTTGTTATTTCTCAAGGCCTTCAGATTTGTTCTGCACTCAGCAGTCTCTCTGGAGAACGGTTCTCGCCCAGCCTCTTCTACTCTGGGAGGGGAAATTCGGGGAGAAGTCAAAGTGTTTTGCCTTTTTCTTTGTAATTAGGACCATCAGTTATCAGGTCATGGAACTGGTAGATGACTTCAGAAAATGGGAACTTTCAGCAGGCTTACATGTTTATTAACTTTTCTTATAAAGAAACCATGGAAGCCTAAAGAGACTAAGTGACTCGCTCAAGGTCACAGAGCAAAAGTGGTGGGAGAAAGTCACTACCTTTGTCTGCCATGGCATTGTTCCTGTTTTCATGAACAAAGATAGCACCTCAGTGTGTTCATTTGAATTTTCTGAACTGGTAAAGGTGGTGAGGTTGGATTCTCCCCCCTCCCATTGCTGACTGAAATGCCAGCAGTCACAGAATGACAGCTCGCCCTGTGTCCTGACTTTCATAAACTGGCATTGTGGTGACGAGAGCAGACAGACTCTGGGACCATATCGCCTGGCTGACCTGGCGTTAGGCCATGCTCGCTGTGAGATGTCGAGCAGCTTAATTAATGTCTCTGTGCCTCATGTGAGAATTGGATACAGTAAAAGTACCCGCCTCATAGTTATTGTCAGGATTAAGAGAATTTTTACAAGTGAACCAGTGTCACCCCAATAAATTCGATAAAAGGAAAGGAAAAAAGAGAGTAAAGGGGAAACTCTTAAATAATCTAACAACAACAAAAACCCCAAAGCAATGCCTGTCCCTAATTAGACACACACAACAGATTTAAAAAAAAACTACAAGTGCTTTTTCATTAGGGCAGAAAATAACTCTGAAATTATTTGCGTGAAGGTGTTTCCACTTCTGAACTAAAGCACTGCCTTCTTTCTTTGCTGCTTCCCCAACCTGACCCTTCTTGTCTGCCTTACAGCTTCAGATCTGGGACACGGCAGGTCAAGAGAGATTTCGGTCCATCACCCAGAGCTATTACCGAAGCGCCAATGCCTTGATCCTCACCTATGACATCACCTGTGAGGAATCCTTCCGCTGCCTTCCTGAGTGGCTGCGGGAAATAGAACAATATGCCAGCAACAAGGTCATCACTGTGCTAGTTGGTAAGTAACGGCTAATGAGGAGAGAAGTCGATTTGGGGGCATCAGAGAGTTTTTTAATCACATAAAGCCTGTGCCTTGGCACCTTCCAAGAATGTAGTCTACAGCTGTATCATTCAAGCAGTTGACATTCAATTCTGCAATCGAAGAGGAAGTGAAATAGGTCCTATCCCATGGTGATGGTTTAGAAGAGTAAAGTAGGAGACATTGCCGATTGCTGTTTCTCTCCATGGAGGTGCTAGGCAAGAAGGCCGACCGCCACGACGTCACGTGGCGGCCAGACGTTCTTCTAAGTCTGGTTACGAGACCATGAAACTGGTGGTTGGTCTAGGAGTAAAATATATCTCAAATTTATAAGGAATTCATCAGTGAAGCAATTGTTTTTTTGTCTTAAAAAATGGACTTAGGCTAAGTTTTCCTTTCTTACATTTATACTGACTTGAGAAATTCTCATTTTCAGAAAGAATCTACTAAGGGAAATTCTGTAGTTTGTGTCGTTTTGTAGGAAGGTAGAACCTGCTTGGTGTGGGGGAAAAGCAGAATACAGCCCGTGATTTTCTGTGGTGACAAATACACCCACTGAGAATGGAACTGCAGTGAAATACCAGATCATTAAAAATCTCTCTAGTGGTGATAGGAAAATGTTAATAATATATGATATTTAAAATGTTTTCTCCCAAGAAGGAATATTACTGTATATTCTGGCAAGATATGATTTGGGAATCTGGGTAGACAGCCTTGCAGAATTCCCAGGCCAGGTGGGATTTATCATAGAAAATGTTGCCAAGTAACATTGTTGACATATCACCTTTGCCGGATTTCACAGAAAATGGAGGTAGAAATTTTTTTCAAGATAAAACACACCATGAATTATTCATGCCGATACTTCCACTTATAATTTAGACATTTAGAACTTTTATTTAACCTCATTAAAAAATTTTTAAAGATTTTATTTATTTATTTTCAGAGAGCAGGGAAGGGAGGGATAGCGAGAGGGAGAGAAGCATCGGTGTGCGGTTGCCTCTCACATGCCCTTAACTGGTGACTTGTTCACTTTGCAGGCCACTGCTCACTCCCCTGAGCAACACCAGCCGGGGCTTAACATCATTGATCTTGTATCTGTAGTTCCTTTTCCACATGCCAAACATCCCTGTCCCAGTGACACCTACAGACTCATTTGCTTTATCCCCCCAAAAATGTTCATAGCAGCCTCAGAATAACAATGCCAGATCTACCACTGACCAGATGATTACTGCAACAATTCAAGATTTTTTCCCTTCAACTCTTTTCATTCTCGATGCATAACTAAGTTTCCGACTCCTCACCTCACGTGGAATCGTTACTCCGTGTGGTTATGCCACTTCGTGATGAACAGGTCCATTTGTTTAATGTGCTTTCAATTTTAGGGATTGCTTTTAAACTTTAATTTCATATTAGCTGTATAATTATAATTATATAATTATGTACAACATTTAGATTCTGCAGTCAAATTGATAAAGTAAGGTATATTTAGAGAGGTCTAATTTCTATTCCTCCCTATCCCTTAACCTCATTTAATGGGTAACCATTATCTTTAGGATTTGGGTTTATTCTCTCATTAAAAAATAAGCACATAAACTGTGTATATACTTTTATCCTTGTTCTTAGACTGTTGTGAATTATGTAACTTTCTTCTACTTTGCTTCATTTACTTACCAATACATCCTAGTGTCTCACTTCCGGGCAGCATCTAGAGATTTTTTTTATTGCTTTTTGCAGTGGCAGATAACTCCAAATAACAATCAGTGTATGATAGTGTATGTAGCCAGGGACCGACTGATGGACATTTGGGCTGTTTCCAGTTCTTTGCCATTACAGATGGCACTGGTATTTAAAGATAAACATTCCAGTAATTACACTCCCATTTGCTCCATTTACTTGCCCACTGTCTGGTTTGACTTCAGATATGGAATTGGATTTTGATGTTTGCAAGCCTACTGAAAGCCAAATGATGATTCCTTCTGTGATTTTACCCCTGTTTAGGCAACAAGATTGATTTGGCTGAAAGGAGAGAGGTCTCCCAGCAGAGAGCTGAAGAATTCTCAGAAGCCCAGGACATGTATTATCTGGAGACCTCCGCCAAGGAATCTGATAATGTGGAGAAACTCTTCCTTGACTTAGCGTGCCGCCTCATCAGTGAAGCCAGGCAGAACACCCTTGTGAACAATGTATCGTCCCCCTTACCTGGAGAAGGGAAAAGCATCAGTTATTTGACTTGTTGTAACTTCAACTAAAGGCTGAGGCACAGAGAAGCAAAAGGAATCAGCAGCTGCCCCAATGGGCCACAAATTGCTGGGGAGACCTGGTGGGGACGGTGGCTCCTGCTCTCGGACCTTCTGACTCCTGAGTTTACAAAGCATGCCAGGCCAAGGGCCTGGGCCACAGGCCGGCATTAGCAGAACATACGATGGTTTCATCCTTACGCAGTCTGGAGGCAGAGCGAGGAAAAGATTGCGCTGGGCACTCCATGACCTGCAGAGCATGTTGCTTTTGTTTTTTTAAAAAGCAAGCAAAAGCGCATTCCTGAACACAGTTTGGAGAAACCCCTCCTGCCCATCAGTGGGTGCATGTGGGGGGTGTTCTTTTTAGGGCTTCTGGGGGCCTTGGTTTTCTTGTCCACCAGATAACCAAAATTGGGGAGGCCAAGTACTGTCTCCGTGGTGTGTGTTGAATAACCCCATGGAGATGTTGAAAAGTGTTATTTCTCTTGTCCACAGGCACTTTCAAGAACTTTGGGATGTAAAAAATGAAATGAAACCTTTACCCATGACCAACAGTTAACCATTATTGTTTTAATAATATATACAAGCTCCACAACTCCTTTTGGTGCTAATGATTCTGCTGTTTCACAGACCAATTGTTTTAGTACATTTATGTCCTTAAATGTATTTCATAGAAATAAAAAAAATAAGGGAAGTCCATGAATCAGCACTCTTTCTCAAAGTCTCATTACACCTTTTCTAGGGTGGATTTTTTGGAGAAGAGAGTATGTTCTTTTACGTTCCCCTCTAAATCTTAACCATTTTTTCATCCTTCCTGTCCTTTAAGTGAAAAAAAATGGTAGATAATATTCTAATATAAAAGATTAGCTCTAAGACATTACAAGTGAGGATGAGAAAAAAGACCGGATCTGACCAAAATACTGTGGACGACTGGACTGCAGTGGAGAGTTCCGGGCAGAGCACAGCCCTGGGCCCAGGCGCGTCTGCTCTCCGCACTATCGATCTTGGACAGACCAAGGCCTGGGATTTTGTAGGTTTTTAGTATAAGCGAAAATAGCAACAGATGCAAACGCTCACAAACCATTTTTGTATCTTCAATGATAACCTTAGAAAATATCTGCTTGTGGAGGCGGTTCAATCGTCATTTGTCAGCTCTTCTGTGTAGTAGTGTTACATTTGGACATGCATTCTTTCCTGTTTCTTTTTTCTTTTCCTCTTTCTTTCCTGGCCTCTCCCTTCTTTTCCTCTCCCCTCCCTCCCTCTTCCAACTGCCTCCTTTCCTTATATGCATGTTGCTGCACATCTCCAGTGCAGATGGAGGTGTATATGCCTTTACTTAGCCAATTTTAAACCAGGACTCAAAAATGGAAGACATGCTGCTGAATATGTGTTATTTCTTCAGTGCCATAATTTGATACCGTCCAATTTGTTTACTGATATAAATGCAAATTGGAAAAATAAACCTGTATGCTGTCAATGCTCTCAGATGTTTATATAGCTTGCTGCTTAGCATAAGTGAGGGATGAGTAATGGAATAAGGATGTAATCCCGCTGTTTCTGTAGATGGAGGCAATCTCAGTCCTGACATGTGGATGTTTGAAAGCTAATTTTAAAGCAGTGAGTCCTGTAGAGACAAGATATTGATAAAGCATTTCTAGCATTCTCTAGCAGGTTTCAGAGTGACCCATCCTGGCACGTGGGGACTATACATTATTCTCTAAGGGACTGATGCTTTTGGCTGCCCCCACTGTGTTCTGATCATATGAGTAAGAGAGAGCCCAGAAGTTGGAATTGTTTTTTATTTTAGAATCTCTCTCTACAGGAAGAAAAAATCATTTTAATAAACAAACACTAACCAAAAGAATTTACAACTGTTGCCTTTTTTCCCTTATCTTCTCCACTAAGCCAGCAACTACAGGTATTCAGAAAACAAGTTGACCAAGTTGGGCAGAAGAACTTCTCTTTTTAACCTGTGAGGAAATGTGCCTGTTTAGATTATCTTTTAATTACGGCAAAAATCCAATTACCCTCGTACATCATGACCTAACTTTGTCTCACAGCAGCATGTGTGTTGAAAATCAAGTTGCTTTGTGAACTTGAGAATAGGACTTCTGTTAGGTTGGACAAATTTATGTAAAATAAGAGCTTTTAGAGTCATTCTTGCATTCTGAAGTCCTTATTCCCTAAGGCTCGCCCTCCTCTATCTATCGCTAGCCACACTTACAAGGGGATTAGAACGCTTTGCCCTGGTACCCCGTCCAGCCTTTCTGTAACTTAGTCACTCCACCACGGCCCATCAGCAGGATTCATGAGAACGGAGGCCTTCCCCCACCCCCCTTAGTTGTGTGAATTCCAGATTAGGCTTTATGGACACTTGGTCACTGATGTAGCTCAAGTTGGAAAATAATCCCTGACAATATTGTAGTCGGCTTATTGTAGTTCGACTTAATAAGTATAGTCGAATAAATAAATTAGTGCCATGAGGAATGGTTAAATAGAAATTTCTCAAAAAAACCCAGGCCAGGACCTAAACTTACTTGTTTGGCTACTAGTTCTTGTCATGGCAGTATTTGCTAAGATGAGTCTTCTTAAATTAAAACGAATTCTCATTTAATGGTGAATGAAAAAGGAAGTTGCTTTCTCACAATTCAGTTTGGCTTAACCTGAGTCAGACTGTCAGACTCCATGTCTACTTGCATTTTTGGTGTGATCTTTCTTCTTTTATTATAGTTACTACATATATGACAATGTATCATATTCATGTCATGAACCAGGTTTGGGAAAATCTGTGAAATCATATAGCTTGCTGATACTAATGATTTATCATGGCTTTTGTGTAGATTGTATCCTCAAAGGATTTTGTGCTTTCTCCTTTACCTGTGCAAGGCTTTTTATTCCTTGATATGCCCTTTTTGACAAATTGAATTATGTTAACATTTAATTTTGATTATACAGGGCCTATTCCCTTTCTGTGGACTACTTAAATTAGCCTATTAGCTTTTCCTGGCCTTTCTTTTTCCCTTTTAATCATTTCAAATTCTGTCTCATTCCTGAGTAAAGTAGCAAGAAAATGAGAAGTGGAAGTCAAAGGGATTGATTTAACCATGTGTCAGTTCCTGCCTTAGGGTTTGGTAAAAGCCACTGGAAATAATAAGATATTTGGATTAGGATTATTTATATTAAGCAATTTATACTTCTTGGAGGGTAGAGGGAGAATTTAATAGAAAACTGGACCCTTCTGTTCATGAGTTCATGCCCCTGGAGGACACTGGTGACTTCCTTGTTAGATCAGTGATTTCCCTCATTTACCCTTTTAGTTATCCCATAATTCTTCCAGATTTAGCATCAGCTTTCAGATAATAAATCATTCTGCAGAAGTATCAGTTGTAAGTGATTTTGAGTTGGTCTTCTAAAATGAAAACATAAAAAAAAATAAACCAAGCCACACCAGTCTCTGGAAGAGTTTCTATAGGGTTTGCCCTTTCTTTCATCTAGAATTTTAAAAAAATATTTTATTTATTTATTTTTAGAGAGGGGGAAGGGAAGGAGAAAGAGTGGGAGAGAAACATCAATGTGTGGTTGCCTCTCTTGTGTGCCCTAATGGGGATCTGGCCTGCAACCCAGGCATGTGCCCTGACTGGGAATCAAACCATCGGCCCTTTGCTTCACAGGCCTGTGCTCAATCCACTGAGGTACACCAGCCAGGGCTAGAATTTTTTTTTTAAATGGCAACTGGTTACTTTCCTCATTCATGGTCCAGACAGATGTGTTTAATGCAAGTACAATAATACTTTTAAAACTTTAACCAGAACATCAAAAGTAGTGGAAAAAAAAACATACATATCCCATCTTTCAGACATAAGCAGTTCACTAATTTGGGGATAAGAAAGGGATGTGTTTTCATATTTCAGTTGTCACGTGAGCCTACCTGTGTTCACAAGGAACACTGCTTCCCTTTACGGTCTTCACCTTGGGTGGAAAGGATACTGAGTTAAGAACTTGTCATCTCTTCAGACAACTATTAATACTGTAATGTTAGACCAGGGAAATGACACTTCATCTCCTTTCCTAAGTCCGTAACCTTGGAATGTTGGAAGCTATACTTTGACATTAAAAACAAATTGAAGCATAAAAAAAAGATGGTTAAGGGATTTAAAATGAAGACATCTGAATATCTGATGGATTTGGGGAGATAAAGCTTGGGGAAGAGAAAGGCAATTAGTGTATTAGAGCAAGACTCTGTGGTTCAAAGGGTGTGATGAGGCCTGTTAAATAGAGGCCGGAGGGTTCACCGTGATGGTGCTGCTTCAGCACCGGTCCCTGTCAAGCAGATGTTAGATGAGAACTCAGCAAAGGTGATGCAGAGAGGATCCCAGAAGTGATCAGGCATCGAATCTGATGACCTATTAACTTAAAATTCTATGTTGCAGTGCTCTGCTCCTCATAACACATTCAATTAAATGTGTTGACCTATACAGATAATGGTTAAAAAAAAAAGGCTGCCAAAAGTGCACTCCTAGCCTCCAGGAAGGAGGTTGGCTACATGTCCTTAGGCCAGAAGGCTACTTGCCCTTATGCCCTAGGCTAGAATCCCTTTGTCGGTCCATTTGTCGATGTCCTATTGAAATCACAAACTTAAGTTAAAAAAAAATTTTTAAAGGTGGTGTTTTAATAGAAGTTACATGAAATCATGAAAATTGTGTATTTGTCACTTGCCAAAAATAGGTCAGGCTCAGTTTGGTGAATACTTGGTGTTCTTCAGGCTCTCATGACGGCCCTTTTTAGTACAGCAGAATCTTCAGTTGAAGATCCCATAAATATACCAACATGAGGTTGCACAGCCCCCATCAGAGATGGGTGGATAAATGACCGACATAAAGCACGCCCCGAGATCTATTTTGGAAAAAAAATACCAACATACCAACTACTTACTTGGTTTGATTCTCTTGGGAAAAAAATAAAAACATGATCTGAAAATGATTTTAACAGAAAGGAGGCCAAATTGCTTCATGTAGAAAGTAACAAAATGCAGGTCTTTGAAAATCAGACATAACTATAAGCAACATTTGCTAATAAATCCCATGACCCAAATGATTCCACCTGCAAAGTAACCTGCATCCTTGCCAGGCTGATAGATTTCATTGGTCTTTATTAAAAAGCCATTCGTCTTCCATCAGCAGAAACACTTGAGTTTTGGTGAGACTTCCTGTGATTCCTTTAGCTACAAGCGCAGAGCATGAACACTATCCCTTAGTTGACTTCCTGAAACGCATGAGTCAAAATTTTACTTTCCCACTGAGTTGAAGCAGAATTTTTGGAGATGTCTCATTCTGCTTCCTGATGGAATCCTTAGAGGGCTGTGATTCTGACCCGTAAGGGCGGATGCAGGGAGGTATACAGAGGGCAGAACACTGGGCGAGGTGCCTGGAGTCCTAGTACTGCAGTGGATTAGTGAACTTTATGCAAAGTACAACCTCCTGAGGATCAGTTCCCTCACCTACAGACTTACAATACCTGTGAGGACAGTGGAAATTAGATAAGATAAATGGAAGGTACGGTGCTTAGTAAACAGTAAGCACTGATATATTAGTTTTCCTTCTTTTTGATTAAGAGCAGACTTTGGCTGCTCTGATGCAAGTATAGATCCTTAAGACAAAACAAAGAATCCTTTTTGATTTTGAGGAAAAGAGCTCCATTTCTGAAAGGGCCTTTGGGCACTGCTGTTACCCAAGACTTCCTTTCTTTACAAACTTCAGGAAAGGCATTCTCTCTCTCTCTCCCTATAGGCAATTCCAGGGTTGTAACTCCTCATTAAAGAAACTTAACCTTATTACTGGAATACCTCACAGTGCAATTTGAACCTTTCTTCTTGATTCTATTCTTCATGGGGAGAAAACTGGGTTGATCCTATCTTCTTTTCAAGGGGTCATGTTTGCCATTTATTATTGCCTTTTTCCCTCATTTTTCAAAATGACAGAAAAGCTCATTAAGGTGGTAATTATTCCTTGAGGAAATGTCAGGATAGGTATTTATAATAAATTCTTAGCTTCTTATTGGTGTGATTTAGATCATAATCTTACTGTTGGCTAAATCTTAAATTATATATTTTTCTTTATCTAACGTAATTGATAACAAAGTATGCTTCTGAAGAATTATTCTGGTGGTGAGGCCCTAGTTTCTTCCTCACAGTAAAAATACAGTCATAATTCTAGTTATATCATCTGCTTTCAGAATTTAATCTCATAGATGACATTATTTGATAGATGTAATTACCAACGTTGAAATTTAGCTGGGGTTCTTCTTTCCCTGCTTATGTGTGCACTAAATTCTGAAATAACAATTGTAATACTAAATGTCTAATTAAGCAAAAACTCATGTACAGAATAACAAAAGATAAGAATCTGGTCTGTTAGGAACTAGTTGGTTGAATGCCGCATAGCTTTTGTTTAAGGTTAGTTTTGCCTGGATTAAATGACA